ACACATCACTGGAACAAATAGCAGTAACTAGAGTTTTTGATATGTTCTGCATGATGAATTCTATCTATTTTCTTTTCTTGGACTTGGAAAAGTGTTCCAATTCATATGTATGATTAGGTTTGGTTTCTTGTGGGCCTAAGATGTGAGAATAATATTTGCTACTCTTGATGGGGTCACCCATTTGATGATCCTTATCCACCAAGATCTCTGAGGCCCATCTCATGATTCACCATGAGTTATATGAAATGATTATAATAGACAAATCACACAAAAATTATTATTATTTATTGTTGTCAACTGTATTTATAAATTATTGTAGTCTATTATATTACCATGATTGTTGCTATTTTGTTTTTATGAAAAATAAGTAATTTTTTATTTTATCTGGATTGTGACTCAAGTTTTCTGGTTTTCTTCTTTTATCTACCCATTTTTATTGGATCAAATTATTCAAAATCATATCCATCCTTCTTCTTGCAGCAAAATGTGCAGGAACATTTCCAGAATAAAAATTCTATAGTCCCTAACATAATTGTCATGTAGTTGGCATCAGTGTTGTAATTTCTGATGCAAAACAACATATTTCACAATCAGAACATGAGTTAATCTGGGACTGAACAAACCAACTTCTTATGGTAGAAAATGATCCTGCTATGCTAACACATAGTAGCAGTTTATGGGGCACTTGCATGTGTCATCATTGCAGGTCAATATGTGCAAGAAATTTGCAGGATAGGAACTTTCTGGCACTAACATTATTTTCATGAAAAGATCACCAGAATTTGACTTCTGATGCAAAAAAATGACTAGTAGATGTATATAGCATCAGTACAAGGAGCAGGTTAAGAGTCCCAAAGTTCAGTATATAATTGTCAAAAGCATCTGTGGTTTCACAAATCTAACTTCTACCTTTTAATTTCAATTATCAATGCCACAAAAAGCATGCTACATCCAGCCAACTCTTTCACCTTGGAGCAATGATAATGTGGAGTAGGCCCTAAAAGAAATATTACTGACAGATCTGGTTCTCTGGAGCTGGAATTACAGTTCTTAAGCAATTTTGTTAAGCAAAACCTCTCTGCCTACCCTCATTACCTAAATCATTCTTAACTAACTCAGGTTTAGAAGAGCTTTGAGCAAATATGTTATTATAGGAACTTGTCAATGCTAGTCCTGTTGTTGCAAATGACCCCTCTCTTAGGTGACACTGACAGATCTTGAAGGACCTAATGCAATAAACTAATTTTCTCTTTTATCTTTGCATAGCACTTGAACATCCTGTCCTTGAAGAAATTGTCATACCTCAAATGAAAAAGCAGCACTTGTACTGGTAATCATGGTCAAGAACTACCTTTTTGAATATTAAGTTGTATCACCAGAATGTTAGGTATAAGATGGCTAGCATTAGGTTGTCTACCATGCCTTTTCTGTGATCAAATGCAATTTTATGTGTTGCAATCACAGACTAACCAACCATGCCATTTGATTGGCCCCCAGAATTCTTGAATCTTGATTAACACCAAGAGTGATAGAAACCTGTGTCAGGGTATTTCTCATAATCTTATTCATTTAATGAATATTAAATAGTTAATAAAGTTGTCATCAATTGATTAGAAAATATCAAATATCATCTATAAATAGTCAAATTACCTTGTAGAGTTGATGAGCCATCAAAGCTCATCAAAATGTAAATGGTGAATATTACTGCAAAAATGCCAAAATGGCTGCCAAATTGTCACAAACATTTTGGAAAAATTGCAGTAGTTTCAGTTTAGTGATCACCAATCTTGTTTTGCCTGTCCACAGTTGCAGTATTTGACTACCCTAAAGTTTTGACATGGCAACCACACAACTTTGTTCTATATGCCACCAGAAAAACATGGACAAACCCACAATTCAGAACAGAGATTCCTGAAAGTTCACCAAAGAGTGGAAAGATACTTAGCACATTACAAGAAACATGGACAATGAGAAAGACACTCAATGCTTTTTTACATTATTTACCACTGGAAATCACATCAACATCCACAATCTGATAGTAGACCATATTGTGAAATCCCCATTCATAAAAGTTAAAACTGTTGAAATCTATGGGAAGGTACCATTTAAGATAAACAGCGAATGATGTTTTATACCTTCATCAGAACAATCTTAGATCTTGTTGATCTTTTCTGCCTTCACAACAGGGTTCTCTTTGGCTATTGCCTTCCGACCAGCAGTCTTGTAGTCAAATGAGCATTCATGAGCCTCGGGGTGTCGGTGAGCCGAACACAAGGTGTTCTCGCATCGGCATTTAAACCCTGTTAATCCTACTTTTTTCCCGCATCGGAAACAGCGGTTAGCAGGCCGCTTGTTGCATAAGTCCTCCACTTGATCCTTAACAACATTCATGTCGCATGGTCCATCAACTTCATCCGAGCTGATAACAGTAGGTTCAATTTTCACCGAAGAAGATGGAATACTAGTTGTCTTCTCCGCCTCAGCAGGAGGAGTCGTCAGGATGGATTTCTGTTTCATGACAAGGTCTTTATAGCATTTCGAGCACAGGTTATTGGTCATGGCACTCCCGAAAAAGCCACAGTTATTAGCGCATAAAATTGGGCTTTCAGGTGTCTCACACTCGGTCTGCTCAGTCTCCTTCTTCCAACTCTCCTGAGCCATTATTCACAAGATACTCTGTTGCAGTATCTCAACAGACCTCAAGAAACCTTATTTGCTATTGTCCAACTCGAAATAAACGCGTAAAGCACTAACAATTGAAGATCTCATATAGTTCCAAGTCAAATAGCTCAGGCAGAGGTGCGTATCAGTACATCGTACAGGACCTACAACATCAGTTGAGAATTTATAGTTCATAAGAAAGGCAACAATAGATAGAACGAGTTGATAATATATAATGCAAATGTAACAATTGAGAGACAGCATCATATTCCTTGAAGCACAATTCTTACTCCAATAATGTTTTGTCGGTAGTAGAAATCAGGAAAACATTGATCGAAGGCATATGTTCCATATCATGAACTGATGTTCAAGAGCATAAAATTCGTAGGGATATTATCATTCACAGACATCAATCGCATGAACACCAACAAATTACTAGAAAATAAATCTGAAAGCCTATCAGTGAATGATAACTGCAAGAAGAAGAGAGAAAAAAAATCTGTGACGAGGAAAAGATACTTCTTTCTTACACGCTGATGACACAGAAGATCACCGAAGAACACAATACATCTGAAATTTCAACGAGAAAAATTCCAAATCGAAAAAGGCAGGGGTAAATGCGTCCCATCCCCCACGAATCGCAATAAAATTGGTCGAATCGAAGCCAAGAAATTCATCTACTTCGAATTCGCAGGGTAAATAATCCATAGAAAAGGCCGATCCACATCCGAATTATGATGAAAACAAGGAAACCCCAAAGCAATTCTTGCAACGACGCAAAAAAGATCAAGTCCTCGCAATTGACAAGCGAGGCAGGGATCGGATTACCGCAAATTCGAACAAGAGAAACTGGAAGCAGAAGATTGGCCAAGCAGAGGCCACACACCTCGGAAACCTTCGACCGATCTGCTTCGAGGGGGCCGAGAGGGCGACAGGATTTTTATTGCAGGGTTAGGGTTTCATTTATTTCTCGATGTCTTAGGAAGATCCTTAATAGGACTAAAAGCTACAAGACACTTGCCCTACCCTCTGCCGTTACTCGCCATCTTACTTGGCTGGCAATTCGAAGAATCAACCGGGCCCGCAAGCTGACACCACACAGACACATCGTACTACAAGAAGGTAAGAAAGAGGGTAATAAATTAACGCGTGGAGAAGTGTAGCGCAGCAAATCTTTGGGACAAATGATTAGTATTAGTGTTAGTAGGTTTTAATCGGGCCCCAACTCAAAAGGTAAGCCTCGTGGAGGAGAAGAGTTCCACAATTGGAACTTTAAGATTACCATCGCATGATGTTTGGTGGGATAATTGAGATGATAATAGTAGCCCATCCAATCATGTGTCACAGTATGTGATTTCATTAATGGAGAGATGAGGTTGTACTAAATAAAGAAGAGTTTGGTGGAGTCTCATCTTTGATGTGGCTCATTTGCGTTCTCATATTTAGCCCACCAATCTATCATAGGCAAATGTCACAACCAAGAATCTATTTTGGATACTGGTCTTTCATGCTGAAACTTTCATGAATGTATGAGAATTTACTGCTAATGATGACTGAAGCTATATATATATATATATATATATATATATATATATATATATATATATATATATATATATATATATATATATATATAT